TTAAGAACAAATCTGTGCGTACGAACRGTTCTTGCATGAGGCCCATTGTGTCTATTATTTTAATAATTTTATAATTAGTAATAATTCACTCTTGTAAGAACCCAACATTTTTACTGACCACATCTATCAACTCATAAAAAAGTAGAATATTATTATTATAGTACTCATATTATTACAGTAGTGTTGTGATTCTGGTTTGCAGATTAAGACAAATGAATAATCTGTAGAGAAAGAATAAAAAGTGTAAAACCCTACCATTGCAGGTCCAGTCATGAGCAGAGAGCAGCCGTGGCAGAGCTCTCCAAACTGCTCCCAGTAGTGTTTCTGACAGTACAGCCTGCCGTCCTTCTCATAGTACCAGTTCATCAGGTGGTCCGAGCACACGGAGCATCTGAGGAGACACATTCAGTCAGACACAGAACAAAAGGCCACAATTCTTAGATGACTCTGGTTATCCTGCCATCACACTGTGAACAAAGGTTGAAGTCATAATGTCTGTATTTGTCATGTTTTATTTGTTAGTCCTAACTTTTCATGTACACATAAATAAACACTTACACATTTAGGTCTTTACGGACAACATTTCCAAATGTTTAAGCATTTGTTGTTGTTATGCATACATTTAGCTAGCTTCGTATGTCAAATCTCGCTGGAGTTGATTTGCCTGAAAAAAATCTCTTGGGTTTTATAGTTTGTCCGCTTTTCTATTTCATTCCGTGTTTATGCAGTTTTGACACTGTATATTTTTTTACAGGTTACTATTTACCACTGTTTTGGTCAGTTTTTGTTGTCAATTACTTTGAAATTTATATTTTGTCTCCATGTCTTGTGTCAGAATGTTTCCCTCCTGTCTCAGTCAGTAGGTCAGTCTGTGCTCCAGAACATGTTTTTGTTTCCATCTTTGTTCTTTCAACCGTACATTAATCTTTATTATTCAAGAACGCTGGACCACAATGGAAATAAGCTTTATGCTTTATTGTGTTATCCATTTATGTTATTGTATATTATATGCAGTGCCATTTACATAATAAATAAAATGAATGAATACATAAACTCTCTTTTGATTTCCTTCACTGGCGGCGTGAGCTTTTCTCAGTTAGTGTATTGGGAACAACAAGATGTTTAAAATCTCATTTGGGTGTTGTTCTACTTTTTGGATGAGCCCTTTTCAGGTGGTGAACAGATTTGACGTGGTCAAACCCTCTGACAACTCATGGGATGAAGTTTTAAAGAAAACAACAGTAAACAGACAAAAATGACATATCTCCAAGGACAAAGTCCACAGAAGATCTGGTTGTTATTCTACATTTTCTGCTTGCTGTTTCTTAAACTTATCGCTGCTCATTCACTTATCACAGCTAAAGTAATGACCAACAAGTGATCCTGTCAACTTTGAGGTCACGAGGCATGACGAAAACCATAAAAACACTGAGGTTTAGTCAGGGGCCGTCGTTTCTAATAACTATGGTAAAAAAAAAACTCATCAACAGCACTTTAAAAAAGCATAACAATAAGCACTGATTCCACTGTTAATCAAATTGACTGCAGTTCCTGTTCGACTACCTGAGGCGATGACGGATCTGTCACCTGAGGAGATACTTAGCAAACTAAAGGGATGTTTAAATATATTAAATATATTCAGTGGAGAATGATAAAGTTGGCAGCAAACTGGGAAGAGCTTTTTAAGCATGCAGCACTGAATGTGTAGATCCTTGATAAACGGCCTCACTGTAAAACAAGATTAATGTATGTCTGCTGTCATTTTTTATGATGATGCTTTGATTTAAGCATCTAGACTGACAACTCTTCTAGGCAAACAGCACAACTATAACTTCAACTAACTGATTTGCTGATGTCTAAAAAGGGTAAATCTTTATTTACATTACGTTGGAAGTAGCACGTCTGTTTCTTTCTTTTTTTTTTTTTTTGTATTAAGTTTTCCAGCTTTCAGCTTCTACCCAAATGTCACGTTCTTCTCTGCACTGTAGGTAGAGTTGATACAGCATTATTGACTTTGGCACAGGATCCAGATATTTCAGAGWTTTCTGGCATTATTAAGAAGGAGCTGTCCTGAAGACTGAAGCCCACATGTTTGTGTCTTAACTGCAGATTGAAAAGTGAAAAACTGGGGAAAAAAACATAAAAAATCACTGACTGCCAGGCAGCCAGAATGTCAATTTCTCAACATCAAGCCATCAATGTTAATAGTGAAGAAACAAAATTGGGCTTGACTCAACACACTGTAGTCTGGACGAGTCAAAACAAAGTACAAAGTGTGCTGAGGTAAAGACAGATGACTAATACTGGCTGTGCTGCTGTGATTTCAGCTGCATCGATTGCCAACATCTGAGGGGCCAAAACAGAGTCGTATTTTCAACATGTAAAATTACTTAATAGAACCTCAATCTTAATAAAAAATAAATATGTTAATGCTGAATTAGAATAAACGCTATTATTGTTCTATTTTTATTTTATTTTATTTAAAATCTACTTATGCATACTTGGTGTTTAACCATTCACCTATCCAAATGTTCAGCTCATTCAGGACATGAGTGCAATCAGGTCTAATTTTTCTAACTTTTAAACTTATTTCTCCTATAGAAGTACGTTAAGATCTCTTCAGTACCTTCAAAAACWTTGTTCTCTTCCAAGTCTGCTTATTCTCTTTTTTGTCTTTTGCACTAATGTTGGTTTACTGTTCTGCCATTTTAAGCTTTTAGCATGACTTCTGCTTCATTTATGACTTTAATGCAGATGATTGGCTGTGGTGACCCAGAGAAGGGAACAGTCAGAAGACAAAGAAGAGGAAGTTTTAGCCACTGTTCTGTTACTTTTACCCAGCCTTTTGCTACTTTTTGATAGTGCTTTACTCCCTTTAGCATTAGGCTAGTGTTCTGCTCCATTTACACCCACAGTTCAAAAGCATGGCTCCTCCAAACCATCACTAGGTTTGATTAGAGGGAGAATCCAGTTGTAACCCACCTCTCACCCAATGACTGCAGCCTTAAAACAGGCACAAGCAGGTCTAAAAAAATTAAACCAAACTAAAAGCTACAACTTGTGAAACCTCAGCTGACATTTCCTGGAGTGGTTTATGAAAATGAAATAATACTGAAAAAAACACATTTGCTCATTCCGTCCAATAAACTGATTTTCCTTCATCATTTTGAGCTTTCTTAAATCCTTTTACGCCTGGTCACTGTGACCCGACAATCTGTTTTTATGCTCTGGAAACTCTTTCCAGTTGGGTACGTTGTGATTATTCTGTCAAAAGTACTTGTTAGTTTTTAATGTAATAAATGCCTAAAGCATGTAAGACTTTACACCAAGATTTACACTTTCACCCATCTTTTTTAAATGCACAAATGTAAAACGTGCATCGAAATATTTTGATGGAAAGAACTCACGCTAGATATTCTATACGCTCAGGTTTAAGTGGTTTTGTGCAGAGCATTGAATTGTTTGAACTGTGTTTGTTTTTGCCAAATTGCTCAACTTTTTCCTCCCAAAATGTTCTTGTTTTTCCACAAAATTACTTGAATATTTAACAGACTTCTAGAAATTTAAATCAAGGGAAAAAAGTTTAAATTTTATGATTTTTTTTGGCAATTATTTTTGTTCAGTGTTCAACTAATGGTAGACATAAAAAATTGTCCTATATGCCTTTATATGATTGTCCAACTACTCAAAATTTCCACTTGGTTCTTATATTAGTTGCTATTTTTTATCGAGCAGATGCAGTGTTCCTGATTTAATAAATAGATTTATTTGATGAAACCAATGCACTCAAATGGTCCCATAAGACAGAAAAAAATGTAAAAATGGAGAGGAAAATGTTGGCATATTTAAAACGGATGAAGCCATGACTTTTTGTTTAAGTTCATATGCATTAAGAGGAAAAAAAACTTGTTCTGGACAAAAGCATTTCTAACCAAGAAAACCTGATAAACTGTTATTATTTTGTTTTTAATATCTACATGTGGTGATGGAAGTGCACTTTATAAAATCACCTGACTTCCTTCTATACACTCTGCTGAATGGGGGGTGGGCACACCAACTCAGGTGGTTGAACAGCACACAATGCTATCATCACGCCTGCACAAACACTATAAAGCAAACATTACTCATTTCCTAAAATCCACATTCCTGCTGGTCTGTATGCCTTTGTTGGAGTTTGGAGATGGGAACTGAGACCTGGACGAGTGACCTTAAAGAGTAATTTTTTTTTACAAAAAGGTCTGTTCTGCATGGAAACCTTGAAAGAGCGAAGAATGAGTTATTTCTCATTTCATATCCCAGAGAAAGTCCAAGATTAACAATATCAGGCTAAGATTAAGAACCTCATATCACATGATGTGATCTCAGTTGTCAGGTGTAAAAGAAAATCTGCTATTTTTGTCAAAACAAAAAGCACCAACTACATCGCACTGTAAAATATTAAAATCATTTCTACTCAACGCATTTACAAATTCTAAAAGTCAAAAATATCTCAATTAAAAACCAATAAACACCGTGTTTGTACGTTAAAACTAAAACCAGCAAATAATACATTACTATATGTATTATTTTGTTCAGCTCTGTTCATTGAGGTTTAATTTACTTATGTTTTTTACTTTTTGTTGAAGACGAACCATTAACTTGCTGTAACACACAGCACTAAATTAAACACTGGTGTAAAATAGATTTAATAAATTCTACTGATAGTCAGGTTCTATGCATGTTTGAATAAAAATCTTATCAGGTTTAAAAAGATTAGATTAAGCTAGATTATAAGAGCTAAATTTACCCCACCTTCTATTGTTGAAAAGAGTGACAATAATCTGCAGCCCTAAAAAAACACTGAGATAAGAACATTAAATAAGCAGCTTGCTTTATTTACAACAGAAAAAAGCCTTCTGGAGTGTCTGAGGCGGCAGCTCTCATCTCTGAATTGCTGTCTAAGAATGCAGAACTCAGCAAAGTCGAGCGCACCGGTCTCTTTGGGCCTCAACACCAGCAGGTTTACTGGAACAAGAGTGACGTCGACTCAAAGGAATGTTAACAAGGCTGGAGGAACACACCGGGCAACATGTGGACAATAGAAAAAAGGAAAACTAAAAGGCTAGTCTTTCAACAAGAACTTAATCACAAGGGTCAACAAGGGTCTAGGACTGYAATTTTTGTTTTCTTAGGTAGTTTTTTCTTGCAAAGAACGTCAAAACAGATAAAAGTGTCAGCTTACTTGTAGGTCTGAACTTTAAAGTCAAATCTCACATGCAAAACATCTCAGCTCTGCCACACATGCTGCTTTAAGAAGGAAAAAGAAAGAAAGGAAAAATAAAAAGAAGAAGAAATGACTTATGGTACTGCAACACAGGTGTGTCAGGAKATCTGTCTCCGAGACAGTAAAATGAACTGGATGTGTTACTGCAGAGTTTGTTTGGAAGGAGTATAACACCAGGTTATATGAGGACAGTCACAAATCAAGCCTGAGGCATTGCATGTCAACACAAATAACAGTTCTCTACCCATTTAGGCTTGGTTCATATATTTTTACAAAGTTCTTATTCATTAAAATGTGTTTTTTTTTCTTTTTGTTTGCTTGGCGGTTATTAGAGTAATAATTTTGGAATCCAGATATTGATAGGATAACTATTTTATCAACAAAAACAAACATTTTGGAAAGACTTATTTATTTTCTGTATCTGCCATGTATCGTTAGAATTTAAATAGAGACCTTTTCTTCAAACTGCACAAGGAAAACATTTATATTTAGCTTTTTCAAATCCTCAGAATAAGTAATTTATCAGTGAATTTAATTATATACAGCTGAAACTGACAACTATTCTGCTGGCTTGAACTATGTCTTGAATTAGACCCATAGTTACTCAAATAGTTGGAATTTCCCCTTTAATTGAAAGAAACAAAATTAAAGACCTAGCATGCCTGGGGAGAAATGCATATCACCCACCAGAAATTCATGCCAGAGATTTAAATGTTACGACGAGAAACTACAGATTTGTAGGTGTTTTGGAAAGCCTTGTAAACGACATTGTGCACAATCATTATGCAACATATGTAGTGTGGTCTGTTAGAGCTTGAAGTATGCACTGAGAGTGACTCTCAGCTACTACTACACCAAACGTCAGCTTATTATCCAGAGAAGTGAAAGAGTTAGACATTTTTTAGTTGGCTAAGATCAATTAGCTGTGGCAACCATTTTAAATAGGAATTCAAAAGGTAGAGTAACAGAAGTACACACAAAGGTTACTGTCTGAAAATTACTAAAAAATGCATTTAGTGGATCATGCAATATTTTGCTAACAGACAGGCAGATTTGACTGTAATAGTTAATGGCAATGTTTTAAAAACAGACATTGTGCAACTAGAGCTTGTRTTGGGGATGAACCTCAGCTGTGTAACCATATCAAACTTTAGCTTGATATCCTTAGAATTAACTTTATGCATTTTTATGGGTTGCTTAGCTGTGCTGGCCATTTTGAACGGAGCTGACTCCAAAAGGGATTTCTTATAGTTTCATTAAAAGTTGTTTACTGGTTAACGCTACAGAAAAAAAAATGCATTGAGTGGTGCTTAAAAATAATAAGGTAGATAAACCTATTTAATTTGTCTAAAACTACTGTTGCAAGCTACTTGTGTGTTTTTATGCCCAGGCCAGTTTTTCCTATCACATGCACACCTTTGTGATCCTGCTGTAAACTCAGATGTCACATGTTGTGTCCAGCAGCTGTTTTAGAACCATTTTAAAACGATTCCACCCAACTTTATGTTGAGTTAAAATCAAGGAAACTGCCAGCCCCGTGGAAAACAGTGCTTCATCAGAATGACGTGCACACATGGTTCACTGTGGAGGAGCAGTGACCTGTGACAAGCAGAGACCTCAGCATCTCCTCTGTGGCAATCATTAAACCTCAGCCCACAAAGGACAAAGTCTTCTGGAGAGCAACACCACCACTTTAGTGACAAACACAAAAACCTGTGCGCACAAACAAGTTTCTGAGATTCTTCAGAATACACTAGGGTGAACAATGAAAACAAGAAAAAGCAGTCAGCTGAAAATTCGTCACTGTCAAAGCTCCCCTCCTTTATTTGCTTTATTTTTTCTAATAAAAACACACATGTCCTTTCTCGTTTAGGTGCGCCATGCAGCACCTGGCTGGCTCACTTACTGAAAGCAGGAGCTGTGCCAGGTGTCTTGCAGCCCCTTCATGTGAAACGAGTCCTCAATTATTCCTCCACAGCCCGCACAGTAACAATTATCTGGAAAGGAACAAAAAYACAGTCTAAATGAGGCACGTAAAGAAATTTAAACGCTCTAAAATTACCGCGTAGTATACAGCTGATCGTCGCCGTCACACTGAAACTCCAACAAAATACATTTTACATTTGTCAAAACGGTCTTAAACTCACTTATGCTAAGCAGAAACATTAAGTAACTTCGCTTTCGTTCTACATTTAACATAAAAAGACTCACTGTCTGGTTCCTCCATTTACTCTCCGAAAAAAAAAAAAGCGTCGTCGAGATTTATTGTTATCCTTTTTCGGGTCCTTTTACAAAATTTTCATCCTTGAAGCAGCGAAATGAGAATTTTTCAGCCCAAACTGCCTGTTCTGAACGCGTCGAGGGGAAAGCATAAATTAATTTAAACCKCCACACAAAACAGCGACCTGAAAATCTCCGCTGGCGGAGTCGCCTTTCTTGTCTCCTCTGAAAGAATGAGTGACGTAATGCCGCGGCTGCATTCCTGTACGGAAAGCGGAAGGGCTCGTGCAGCACCTGGAAGGGTAGCTCCGAGGCGGAAAACCGGCGATGGCGCCATCTGCTGGCAACTCTTTGATACTACATTAGAAACAGAATCTGCGCTTCGGT